AATAAACAGCCTCTGGTTATAACAAGTTTGTTTTCTTTTTGTTTAAAATATATATTTGTGACTATTCAGGAACAGAAAAATGTTTTTATTATCCAAATCAAAACACAGCATGAGGTACTTTCCAATAAAATCAACTGTAGATTATACACAAGTCAAAATCATCTGCCTGTTTGGAGAGTTCAAAATCCTTCTAGGCACCAGGAAAAAAGTTTAATTTAAGATTTTAATCTTTCCATATATTACAGGGTTTCTGTAATGGATTTTGTGCATCTGAAACTAAAAGATTGACAGGTCTGTATATTATAGATTTATTAACCATTGGTTACATGGTCAGAGTTAGTGTGTGAAGCATTTCTACAATACCCCTGAGGCTGCACTAGAGTGAACAATTTCTACAAAGCCTGAGGTAGACAAGAGTTAAGGTTACATTAAAAAAGCAGAAAGTGTGCTTTATTTCAAAATGATCCTTTTCTAAGTATAAACATTATACACTGAGCATAAAAATATGATGTTGAACTCAAAGAAAAATATGACAAAATGCTGGGAAATTCAAAAGAAGTCTCAAACATTTACAAATGCAATCCTGCAGTGCACTGTTTTATCATTTTGAAAATGGGGCCCTTGGCACCTAGCAAAGGCTGGAGCAAATACATTTTAAAAATAAATAATTGAAGGCAAAAATAATTCTCCAAAAATAATCATTACTATTTATAGAATATTATACAGAGTCAGTGTATGCCAATTATATAAATTACCTTGTTTAATCTTTACAACCACCCAAATGTATGTACTACCATTGTCTCTATTTTACAGCTGCACCGAACAGACTCAGGGAGAAAAACTGACTTGTTTATGTCAGCTAACAGGTGGCACAAATGGGATACGAATCCTGGTTTTCTCTTTCATCTGACATCCGTTGTCTTAAAGGAAAGATATCTTCAAATTAGCAATGGCAATTTATGTGTATAATAATGTTAAAATGACAAGTGATTGATAGGCCATGGAACTTCCTGATCACATGGCTAGGAAATCACCAATTTTGCTTACCATCTTGGACTTTCTCTTATTGTTCTTTGAGAATTTGGATTGTAGAAGACCCTGGTCCGAGTCTGAGAAATCTCTGGTTAATAGGCAAAATCCGGTCTCAGACTGGCTCTTTTCTGCCTCATTTTACTTGACGGCCCAGAAGCACTACAGCACTACAAAGATGCCAAGGAGAAATATGCTCAAAGATGGCAAGATAGCAATGCTACTCCATGCAAGTAGAAATTTATTCTGTAAAGGGATATGCAAGTTTGTACATTTTCCACAGCAGAAGATATGGGTTTTCTTCCCCTGAAATTAAGAATGGAGTTCAAGAAGATCTACGCTCCTGAGGTAAGGATTATAGGGCTTTATGACACAGGTTGGCACCAGAGATCATTCCTTTGTTTTAATTTAAATGGCTGTATATTCATTTTAAAAACAAAGGTGGTTGGAATCATTTATATTTAATATCTTAGAGAGGCTTACATTTTTCTTTGCTTATACAGCTCTTGATAAAATTTCTCCTGTGAATTTGACCAAATTAAGACCCTGTTTTTGTTTTTGATCTCAGATTATGACATCACAAGGATGTTAGTTTATGAGAACTTAAGTTTTATATATTAGGCCTCTATGTTACCTTCTTGACTCTATTACCTGTTTGTTTGCTTATTTAGTTTTTATTTTGATTCCAGTTAGCTAACACACAGTGTTATATTAGTTTCAGGTGTACGATATAGTGATTCAAGAATTCCATACATCACCCAGTGCTCATCACAACAAGTGTACTCCTTAATTCCCATCTCCTATTTAACCCATGTCCCCCACCTGCTCACCCTCTGGTAACCATCAGTTTATTGTCTGTAGTTAAGAGTCTGTTTCTTGGTTTGTCTCTCTTTTTGCTTTTTTGTTTTGTTTCTTAAATTCTACATATGAGTGAGATCATATGGCATTTGTCTTTCTCTGACTTATTTCACTTAACATTATACTCTCTAGCTCCATCCATGTCATTGCAAATGGCAAGATTCATTCTTTTTTTACAGATGAATTATATTCCAATACATATATACACACATCTTCTTTATCCATTCATCAATTGATGGACACTTGGGCTGCTTCCATATTTGATTATTGTAAATAATGCTGCTATAAACATAGGGGCATATGTATTCCTTTGAATTAATGTTTTTTTTTTTTTTTATTCTTTGGGTGAATACCCAGTAGTGTGAATGATCCATCATAGGGTAGTTCTATTTTTAACTTAAGGAAACTCCATACTGTTTTCCTCAGTGGCTGCACCAGTTTGCATTTCCACTAACAGTGCAAGAGGGTTCCCCTTTCTCCACATCCTCACCACCTGTTGTTTCTTGTGTTTTTGATTTTAGCCACTCTGACAGGTGTCAGATGATAGCTACATTGTAGTTTTGATTTGCGTTTCTCTGATGCTAAATGATGAAGAGCATCTGTTTGTCATCTGTATGTCTTCTTTGGAGAAGTATCTGTCATATCTTCTTCCCATTTTTTAATTGAACTATTTGTTTTTTGGGTGTTGGGTTTTATAAGTTCTTTATATATTTTGGACACTAACCTTTTATCAGATATAGAAGTTACTGCTTGTGCTCTCTTCTAGGATTTTTATGATTCTAGATCTCACATTTAGGACTTTAATGCATTTTGAATTTATTTTTCTGTATGGTATAAGACAGTGGTCCAGTTTCATTCTTTGCTTGTTGCTGTCCAGTTTTCCGAACACCATTTGTTGAAGGGACTTTTTCCCACTGGATCATCTTTCCTGCTTTGCCGAAGATTAATTGACCATATAATTGTGTTTTTTTTTTTTTTCTTTCTGGGTTTTCTATTCTGTTCTATTGATCTGTGTGCCAGTACCATACTGTTTTGATTACTACACCTTTGTAATATAACATGAAGACTGGAATTATGATGCCTCCAGCTGTGGCTATTCGGAGTCTTTGGTGGTTCCATACAAACTTTAGGATTGTTTCTTCTAGTTCTGTGAAAAATGCTGTTGGTATTTTGATAGTGATTACTTTGAATGTGTAGAATTGCTTTGGATAGTATAGACATTTTAACACTATTTGTTCTTCCAATCCATGGCCATGGAGAGTTTTTCCATTTCTTTGTGTCATCTTCAACTTCTTTCATCAGCATTTTACAGTTTCCAGAATACAGGTCTTTCACCTTTTTGGTTATGTTTATTCTTAGGTATCTTATTATTTTGGGTGCAATTGTAAATGGTATTGTTTTCTTAATTCCTCTGTCTGCTGCTTCATTATTGGTGCATAGAAATGCAACAGATTGCTGTACACTGATTTTGTATCTTGCAAACTTTACTGAATTCACTTTTCAGTTGTAGCAGTTTTTTGGTGGAGTCTTTGGAGTCTTTCAGGTTTTCTATATATAGTATCATGTCATCTGCAAATAATGAAAACTTTATGTCTTCCTTAGAGATTTGGATGCCTTTTATTTCTTTTTGTTGTCTGATTGTTGTGGTCAGGACTTCCAGTATTATGTTGAATAAAAGTGGTGAGAGTGGACATCTTTGTCTTGTTCGTAACCTTAGGGGAAAAGCTCTCAGTTTTTCTCAAGTATGATGTTTGCTGTGGATTTTTCATATATGGCCATTATTATGTTGAGGTACATTCCCTCAATACCACTTTGTTGAGGGTTTTTATCATGAATGGGTGTTGTACTTTTTCAAATGCTTTTTCTGCATCTATTGTAATGATCATATGGTGCTTATCCTTTCTCTTATTGATATGATGTATCACTTTGATTGATTTGTGAATATCGAATCACCCTTGCAACCCAGGAATAAATCCTACTTGATTGTGGTGAATGATTTTTTTAATGTATTGTTGCATTTAGTTTGCTAGTATTTTGTTGAGGATTTTTGCATCTATGTTCATTAGAGATATTGGCCTGTAGTTCTTTTTTTGTGGTGACTTTATCTGGTTTTGGTAATGCTGGCCTCATAGAATGAATTTGCAAGTTTTCCTTCCTTTTCTGTATTACCTATTTTGACTGAGATAATTGTTCAAGTAAATGAAAAATATATCTTTGCTAATTATTTTATGGAATGGACCTGCTGATGACCAACATGGATGCTAGCCGATTGTTTTCAGTGCATGCTGAACTGTAGCTAAACTTATTCTGATGGAGATAATAGAATTTGTGTCATTTTTATCTAAAGACTAGATATTAGAGATAAAATCCATTTGAAGTGAATTTAGCACCTTAATATATTTTAAATTTTACTGAAACAGCATTTCCATACTTTCCTTATGTTAAAAGACAGAGCAAAGAGATTTCACTTTAATCCTTACTCTATGGTGTTAATGCAATCAGATTTGTACCTGAGGATGATGCTTACGTCAAAACATAATAATGCACTAAACCATAAAAGTAACCCACTAGTGACTAAATGGCACAGTGGAGGCTATATAGCTTAGAGGGGCAAAATTCAACTACCATAACTGGCCATAATCTAATAGAAATGGATAGAGTAGACTCTTGCTTTCTGAATTCCTTATTCACTGCTATAATAAAGGCCAAATCATATAACATCAATGTTCCAATCTTGGGAGTCCTGCATAATGAATGTTTGAGGTCATTCAGATCTATATGACCTACCTGGGATGTATATGAATAAGAAGGCAGATTTGGGTACTTAAAAGAAAGTATTACTTTCAAAGAAAAGTATATATCTAGTTATCTGTATATCTTTATCTACATATCTACATCTGTATCTATATGTATATATGCATATACTTATATATGTATAGACTCAGGAATGTGGTTTGGACTATTCTGTTTATATTTATCCAGGAGACAGGTTATGTCCTTCTGATTCACTAAATTCACATTTCCATCCTTTTCTCCAATTAGTTTTCTCTGAAATGTTTTGCATACAAATATGCACATGCACACATGCACACACACATACTTTATTTCTTTACCTGGTGGGGTCCAAGCTACAAATATGGAATAAGGCCCAATTACTGTGATGTTATATGGAGGCTGGATTTCTTCTGGTGTCAGTACAGGTGTTTGCACAATGTAATCATCACTAGGATTGCTGCCGCCTCCAGTTGTGGCTTCCAATTTATAAATGTATCTATATGAAAAAGAAAGGATTGTGATAAGGAAATGCACAAGAAACTTGAACAATGGTTGCTAGCTTTTCTCGCCAGTGTTTAGTCCTAATTTTATGACAAATTGCAAATTTTCTGCTCCCTGTTCAGAAATGTCTCTGTTGACTTGATAGTTTTTCCAGAACGGGCTTCATTCTCTCCAGACTGTCACTATTTCTACCCCTTCCCACTTTATTTTTAACCCTCTTGTAATTAATTTTTCCTAAAGATTTCAGGAAAGTCTTAGAGTGTGCCAGTAGATTGTGAAGGATTCAAATTAATCTTCCCCATTTTTAAATGGGTTGGAGTTCAGGGAAATATGTTTAGAGAAAGATGTTTCTAAATTGATCTGCTACTCTCTACAATAAATCTGAATTGATCTCTACTCTCTGCATTAAAACATCTGTTGATCTAAGATATATTTTGTTTCTGCTGAGATACGAATGGGAATGAATTGCAAATATGTGGAACTTTTTTCCCCTAAAACCACTCATACCTATATATAGTGTAGCAAGCAGAGAAAACATTGTATTAGAAGAAAAGTTAGTTGATGTAAAACAAAACTCAAAATCTTTTTTTTATTGCTAGCTTCAGAATGCATGTTTTTGAAGATAATTTGATAATTTTTAAAGTTTAATACTTTCTGTATTTTATATACTTAAAAATTCTCATGCTCTTATGTCAAATAAAAGACTATTTACATTTTTAAAAAATGTCATGTACTCTGAAGACTAAAGTAATGAGTTAGCACTTGAGTCTTCAACATCTGAAATGAATTAAAAGATCTCATCAGCTATGGAATGGCTACTGAATGAGATTAATTAGCCAATTAATTTCATATTGTTTCATCTTGAGATGCACTTTTCAGCCCTGAAAAATTTAAAATTCTAACTATATGATTGGTAAAGTTTTCTTTAAGTTCACCTGCTGTTGGGCTCCAGGTTTTTATCAGTGAAGTTCTGCTCCTCACTGTCACCCAGGAAAACCAAGGTTCCATTACGACTCAACTGATACTGAGAAATGAGACCATTGGGCTTTTCTGGAGGACTCCAAAATAATTCCACTGTTGTAGAATTGATAATAATGTGTCGAGGTGTCACCCAAACTCCTGGCAAAAAATAACACAATGAGGTTTCATTGTTAGAAATATACACCTTGTCAAAAGTCACACCATCACCTCACATATTATGATATTTTTATCTGTTGTTAAAAAAATCTCACGGTGAAACAACAAAAATACATTTTACTTACTTTGGAGGTAAAAATATACAATTGGGTATAAATATATTTTTAATGTTTTGATTATTTTATTTGTGAACTGTCTTTAGAAAGTGAATATCAGAAAATTTAGTGGTGGAAGATTTCTCTTTCCCTGCTGTTACTCTGAGTTTAACCAAGGCTTGAAAGACTACCCAGGAATTTTAAACTTTGATGCCTATTTACTTGGAATATGTGCAAGTAATTATAAAGTAGTATTTACCTGAATTATCAAATTCAATGAATAACATACTTTGCCCTTGCCTCTCTGACACAACATGCTGTAATTCTTTTCCTCTTTTCTCATTTACTGGCTTCTCTCCTCCTACTGGATCTCAAAAATGGGCCTCAGAGACCTAGGCCCTCTCCTCTCCCTTAGTCTTCCCTCTTCTTTCTTCTCCTCTTGTTTCCCAACACTCACTTTCTATGTGATCTTCATTTAGTGTTAGTTTTAAGTATCATCTATATGTTGAACACTCCCATGCATATCTCTAAACTAAAACTCTCTCTTGAGCTTCAGACTCATGAACCCAACCGTCAACCTGACATCTCCATTTGGATGACTAATTAAGTATCAAAATTTAAAATATCTAAAACAGAACTCTTGGTTTTTCTGTTACAATCTGTTCATCTTCCGATTTTGTCCATCTATTCATTTTCTTGGTCAAAACACACAAATATTATTCTTGAGGCTCCCACTTTTTTCACCCTCAAATGCAATGTCATAAAATCCTGCTTGTTCTACCCTGAATGTATATAGTTCTCTATACATTTACTGCCACCTATTCTGATCCAAGCTACGTTTTTCTCTCATGAACTTCTATCATAGCCTCTAAACTGGTCTCAGAGTTTTAAATCTTGCCCTTCTCTATTTCACGTAATCTTCATAGAAGTATATAAAGTATATACATAAGTCATTATAATCTTTGTAAAATATACAACCCTTTTGAAATTATTCATATAATTCCAATTCCTTATGATAACCTGAATAATCCTACATTTTTTTTTCTGGTTCTGGCCTACCTGGCTCCAGTCACACCAGACTCCTCTTTATCCCCAGAATGTTTCCAGTTTTTTCTCACCTCTGAGCTTTTGCACTTCCATTCCTTCTGCCTGGAACTTCTGGTTATGACAACATGACATTTTTGCAATTTATTTTCATAGTTAAGTGACCTGTGTGAATATCATCTTAGCAGGGAGGTCTTATTTGACCAAACTTCTCTAATGATAACTTTAACCTTATCTAAAGTGATTCCAACTTAGTTACTCTCTATCCTAGGTCCTTTTCTAGCTTCCCTCAACACTCACAACATCATAATAAATTTTTCTTGATATTATCATTATTTCTATGTAATCACTGCATGGTCTGCTTCCTTCTCCTAGTTCAATATAAAGTTAGTTTCATGAAGGCAAGAATCTTCTCTGTCTTATTTGTCAAGGTATCTTTATGCATAGATAGTGCAAGGTCTAACTGATATTGAATAAATAAATTTATTATAAATATATCCTGCAAATTACTATTTAAGCACTGTAGGCAGTTCTAGAGAATGTAAGTGTGAGAGAGATATGGCTTGTTCCTACAAGTTTACTCTTCTGCATAAAAGTTAAAATAAATCCACAGACAACTGTCATTCAAGGTCAAACATTCAAGTACTCTTATAGATGTACAAACGTATTGATGGGGAACCTAGGCAATGAGGAAAATCAATCCTACCATTTCATGTTGCCATCTAGGTATGCTCTGAATGGACACTGTTAACTCTCTTCAGCTTTTAAAAACTCATGCAATATTAGTTTCCCTGTAATCAATAGTTTTTGGTTTTTATCTCTAGTGTAAGTTATTCAGTAAAGGATAAGATTTCAACACTTTTAAAAAGAGAAATTTTCACGACATTCAAATGCAATTTATTTAGGAACATCCTGAAAGAATCAATATAGATTTTTAAAAGAGCTCAAACTTACTGATTTTAAAGGAACAACTTATTCCTAAGAAGAAAGTAGTTCATTTTGTTCTGAAATAGTTATGTGGACAATCCACAAATCATAGTATACATTTATGTTTGGGTTTCTCTGCCAATAGTTGCTAGATGAGTCAACCAACTAATTACAGTTCTGATTCAAACATGATATTAATTTGTTGATTTAAGAGATAAAGTATAAAGTTTAGTTCATAGTCTGTTTCCTGCAGTCCTATCTTTTTCACCTTTAAGGATGTATTAAAAATCACTAGGGTGCTAGAAAGGCTGTGGATATAGAGGAGTGAATGAAATAACATGAATCAAGATTTTGGGTTTGTTTCATGTTTTGAATAAAAATTGAGTTTCATATTTATGCAAGCTGGTGAAAGCTCTGGTTGTGTTGGTAACAACCCTCTATCCATTGGGTTGGAAATAAGAGGAAATTGAAATGTTTAAAAAATACTAAATGCTATGGTTTTACTTATATAATGATATGGGGACACTGTTATGTTAACAGTTGCAAGAAATCTTTGATAGAATAAGAACCACTTTTGGTGAAATGTCTTAAAGAGTCCCAGGTAGAGAATTTGCTTCTCTCTGTGAGCCTAAGTCTCAGGCGGCATCAGAAAAACCTATCCTACCTAGTAGAAGGGCCCAGTTGAAACAACTCAAGGAAAGGAAATGGATGGTCATGAGGGAAATCATCTCGAAGGGGGGCAGGGAGGAGGTAAACTAGCTGAGAGGTTTAAGAAGGAAAGGTCAGAAAGAAACCCTGGTGTTAGGTCTTTTGCAATAATAGCTACCACAATATATATATATATATATATATATATATATATCTATTAGATCTGTTTAAATTTGTTTTGAGTGCCATGCAATATTATCCACTTCTCATTTTTCTACAAATCTTCATTCCAAATTAAAAATACCAGTATTTATTGTGGATTGGCTTTCTTTTGGAAGCTAGTAAAGGAAAAACCCAGTTTTGTATTGGCTAATGTCCCGGATGCCTTGACTTCTGGACTATTATGATTGGGAAATTTATCCAACATTCCACCCAATTTTGTGTCATTTTCTGTGTCAGGCACTGTGGATATGGGAATAAGGACATACAGTCCTTACCCTTCCAGGAGCTCATAGTATTAGGGTGAATAAAGATGAACAAATAGAAATTTATAATCCAGTTTGCTAAATGCTTTAGGAAGCATAGTGCTTTGGAGCACTTAGGAAGGGTATCAACACAGACTGGGAGTAACATGGGGAAGGATGGGAAGCAGAGGCAGTCATTGGAGATTTCTAGAAGGGGAGACATGTGAGCTAAATTTTTTAAAAAATGGGTTAGCTGCATGAGGACGTAGGAAAGAGATCTAAGCTGAGGGGAACCCACAAAAGTCCTTGAAATACAGGAAAGTATGGTAGAATTCCAAGTACCTCAGCGGGACTGGTGCATTGGATGGCATGTGGGAAAGACCAAAAGACTCGACAGATAGGCAGAGGTTAAAATTTGAGGGATCTATTTTGCTTTACTGAGATGTGGATTTTTTCTTTCCTGGAAGAAAGTGGGATTTTATGGAAGTGACTAATGTGAAGTATGTCTATTTTGGCACAAGGGGGAAAAGAATTAATACAAGAAAGAGGAGAAATGACTATAGGCAGGAAGAGTAATTACGAGAAGTTAAAGGCATCTGAACTAAGTCAAAGCCAGAAGGGATGTAAAGGAAGTACACATTTAAAAAAAATCCTTAGATTTATTAATTTAAATTTTAAATTTAAAAATTTATTAAAATTTAATAAAATTAATAAAATATATCAAAATTTCATTAAAATTAAAATTAATTAATTTAAAATTAATTAATTACAATTAATAAGATTTTATGAAGAACTGCACATTACAACCTAAAAAAAAAGAGACACATCAAGAAGGTCCATTTTGGGCTGATAAGGTGGATGATGGTACTTGAAGGACGGAAAAGGGAAGAAAAGTAAGCTAGGAAGTGAGGAGATTTTAAGTGTGGAAATACTGAGGTTGAAGTATTTGCAAAACACCTAAATAAAAACATCTATAGATCGGTGGATACACAGGCCTTAAATCTATGTGTGGGCTTTGTGAGAGCTGAGGACTAGAAGCTTGTACTTGAGAATTCCAAGGGATACCGTGGAGTTACAAGTGCAAAGAGTAGAGGAAGAATCTAAAGGAACATCAACAGTTTAAAAAAGGTCAGTGGAAGGGGGGAAACTGGAGGGGGAGACGAACCATGGGAGACGATGGACTCTGAGAAACAAACTGGGGGTTCTGGAGGGGAGGAGGGGTGGAGGAATGTGTTGGCCTGGTGATGGGTATTAAAGAGGGCACGTATTGAATGGAGCACTGGGTGTTATGCACAGACAATGAATCATGGAACACTACATCAAAAACTAATGATGTAATGTATGGTGATTAACATAACATAATAAAAAAAGAATTAGAAAAAATAAGACTGTTCATGCTACGTTCTTTTTTGTTGTTTTAAAATAAATGACAATAAATCCAAAAAAAAAAAAAAAAGGTCAGGGGAAGAGAGATCTGGAACGCAATTGAGAAAGATTCATCTTCTTTTCCTTTTTCCCCCATGGTATCAATGCTGGAGGTAAGTATGCCTGAAATTTTGCATGACCGAACTCTAAAATTAAGTAGAGCTTGCTGGTATGCCGTCACTTCTAAAAAGAGAGAACAAAAATCCAACTTGAACTCTTCCTATTTGACTGAAAGTACACAATTTTCTGTGAGGATAAAATTGTAGAGAATTATGTCCAACTTATAATGAGGTAGTAATGTACATTAGCTTTTCTGTTTTGTTTTTTTTTTTAAGATTTAAAATGAGAGAGAAATGAGAGACGAACTCAGGGTGGCTATGAACCAATGCTTCTTTTCATTCTCACCGTATTTGCTTAGGAAACTAAAGTGTTAGACCTTCAAACTATGTCAGATTCACTCAAATAGGCATTTAGTAATTAGTTATATTTGCGTTATTAATTTAACATGAGATGATATGCTTATTTCCACTTTACAGTAAAACAACAGAACTTAATATTGCTGTTGATTTGTTCTCCTACAACCACCAAGTTAAGTACTCAGACTACATTTATTTCACATACAAGTTATTCACAGATGGCACTTATACAGCCAGAAAATGGATTCTAAATCCATGTTTGTTCTGCTGAGAAAAGCCCATTTGGTTTATTATTCCTGCGCACAGTTATTTGTGTTAAAGGAAAGGTGCATAAAGTTAAAAAAAGAAATCAAGTAAAACATTTGTCATCTCACACTCCCCTGTGTTGTTGAAAGCTAAAATTTTTAAGTCATGAAATCTGAGATCTTTCAGGAATTTTTGGGGGGAAAAGTGGGAAAATAGATGCATATTTTCTAAGAATTTAAATATATGGATTTGATGATGACACTGAAGCAAGAGACCCTGTTATTTTACCAGGTTTGAGTTGCAGCCAAAACTGGTTGATAGATCCTTTAGAAATTATCCATTATCATCAAAGTATCCATTTGATAGTTTACCTTTCCAAAAAATCCACTGCTGGTTTCTTCCTTTCAAAGGAACACTAAGCTTTTTGACATGAAACATTCTTTATATAGAAAACATCATTAGTGAAATCCTGGTGAGGAGCCATATGCCCCATATGTGGAATTTTCCATTTTATTCCCCATTTACTGGTAGGAAGTTCAGGTCTAATATTCTGAGGTACAACAATCCCTTTCATTAGAAGAGTAATGGACAAGCCGTTCAGGACTCTCCAATGGTAATTAACATCATATTTCTGTTTAGAAACTCATGTATGCCTCTGTTTCCCCCCACATTTAAAACAGGCAGATAATAAAGATGAGCAAAATATTTAGTTGATCACTATCCCAAGCTTCTAAGCCTATCTTTCTTCTAAAAGTAAATGATAACACCCACCCCAGTTCCCAACCCACTGGTAACCACTGTTATGTGTGTATGCTTCCAGAATTTTTTCTATATTTTTATTTATCTATAGAAATAAATATAATTTTCTATGCATTTTTATACATAAAAGATACCATGCATTAATGTAGTTCTAAATTTCCTCTTCATATGTTTAGATTGTCTCATTCTTTTAAACCGAGGTATGGAATTTCATAATGTGAATATACCTGAATTTATTTAGCAATTCTCCTATGAATAGACTTTTAAATTGCTTCCAATATTTTTCCATTAAATAAAAAAACAAAATTGCTTCAGTAAACATTCTGGTATGTGTCTCTTGTACATTTGTGGAAGCGGGATTTTCTGGCATAGATAATGAATGTGAAACTACTGTGTCATAGAAAATTAACATTTTAAATTTAATAGACATTGCCAATTTGCCGTCCAAGGTGATGATCCCACTTTACATCCCCTCAACCTGTGTTGGATTCTGCATCTCCCCGAGTGTGTATTTGTCAAAATTCTTGTTCTTCATGATCCACCTCAGAACTCACTTGCTCCATCAAATCTTTTTTGATTTTCATGACTAGTTATAATCTCTCCTTCTTCAGATTAACCTGAGTATTCCGTTCATTGTTTAAAATTGATGTATGATTAACATACAATGTTATATTAGTTTCATGTGTACAACATATTGATTTGGCAATTCTATACATTACTCGATGATAAGTGGGGTCACCATCTGTCACCATACATTATTACAATATTGACCATTTGTTCTTTCTTAACATCACCTTTCAGATTCTCTCTTTTTTAAAGATTTTATTTATTTATTTGAAGGGGGGAAGGGCAGAGGGAGAGAGAGAATCCTAAGGAGACTTCGCGCTGAGCATGGAGCCCAACGTGGGCCTCAATCTCACAACCCTGAGATCAAAACCCTGAGATTATGACCCGAGCTGAAATCAAGACTCCAATGCTTAACCTACTGAACCACCCATGCGCCCTGATTCTCTCTCCTTATGTAAGTTTGGGTACTTGTCCTGTGTCTTTGACTTGATGGTAAGTTCTTCAACGTAGTAAATAAGTCAACTTCAGCAGAGAGCACGTCCTTGTTATATATCAGGCATTCCAGAAATATTTAACTTTTGATTTTTTGAGGAATTTTATATCCTAGTACATAATAATTTTTTTTCACAGGAAACTAAATTTAAGACGTTTAAACAATTGAAAGCAAATTTTATGTTGGGAGGCTTATAGTTGAACCAAACCTGAAAAATGGGAATCTAGAATACAATTTTATTTTGTACCTGTCGACTTTATTCCTTCTTTGTTTGACATGAAAGAGTTTATAGAATTCATTTCAAAATGCCATATGAAAACTTCTTCTCCCAAATCATGGATATTTTTTAATTACCTTCAGGGGCTGCCTGCAGTGTCTGACCTAGAAAAGGCTCACTTGAAGTGCATCCAGCAGATGTACAAGCTGTAAGTGTGAAGCTGTAGTTGGTGTATGGCTGGAGACCTAGAAAGAATAAACAGGAAATAAAGTACATCTTAAGAGGATTATTTATTATCAATTCAGCACCGGAAGTAACATGCAGAGTTGTAGATATGATTTCCAAATTTTTAAAAAAGCAGAAAACACTCTTGAATGGAGATAGGAACTTCACAAGCAGCTTGGTATAAATAGAAACTTCATTTATCATTAATAAAGTAATAAATTCTCAGCCTTAGAAGAAATCTTAAAATTCATGCAATCCATCCACCCATCCATCTTTCTCCTGATTCTCTTGTACAAGAGGTCACGGAAAGACTGCCTTGCCTAGGCAATCAGAGTACTCATCTCTCAAAGAACCCGTTCCATCCTTAGAGAGCTCTAGAGTTCTCCTTATTTTGTTTGAAAGTCCTTCCTTATATTGTGGTGAATTCTTTCCATCACTTGCACCCCTAGGGACATATAAAACAAATCTAATTTCTTTTCCACATGACAGTTCTTCAAATATTTGTAGACAGTTATCAAATCCCCCCTGAGTCTTCTCTTCTCCAGGCTAACAATCTCAGTTTCTGCAACTGCTTCTTATATGACTGGGGGGGGCGGTTAAAAAGAAGGTTAGATTCGACATTTTTTTAGCCCCAAGCCATATTCAGCTTATATTCACACCAACCATTTCTTTTTTTAACTTTGCACTTCTTCTCCATATATGCCCATAGAGTACCATCTCACATTTAACTTCTGTAGTTTTTTGAGGGGTATGTTGGTTTTGTCTTTACACATTAATTAAACATAATTTGATGAAGGGATAGTGCTTATTGTATTCAGAATATGACACAGCCCAGTAACTGCTCAATAAGTTCTCAGGAAAAATAAGAATGGCAATCCATTTAGAGTAGAAGTTGTATGTGGTTAGACTTCACTACTCCATCGCCGGAGACCTTGGGTAAGTTACTTAGCTTCTCTTTGCCTTGATCTTCTGATCTATAAAAATGGGAAATATAGCAGCTAGCTTTTAAGGCTTTTGCAAAGATGAAATGGGTTACTTAGAGAAGTATTTTCTTTAAGCAGAAGCAACCTTAAAACTCAGCAGCATTCGACAAGGAGTCTACAGAGACTAACATTTTTTGCCTTGATTCTTGGGAAAATTCAAACAATGCCAAAGCTCAAAAATTTTCCTTTCCTTAAATAATAAGACTTAGTTTTTGTAAGATGGGTAGCCATGATCCCTTCTCACAAGCAGAATGAGAATAAAAATGTGATTTATTGAGTGTTTAAAAAAATAAATAATAAGACTTAGTCTATATGTTGAATAATTAGGCTGATAACATGGATCTAATAATTATTATATTAATTTTTCATGAATTCTGAACTACATTTTTACATATATTGTTCCTTTGGTGGCATGACTTTTTCCAGAGACATTCATGTATCACTCTGCGGCTTTCTGTAGATTTTTGCTCAAATGCTACATTTTAAAAGATTTTGACCACTCTATCTACACACTACACCCAGCACTTGTTATTCCCTCAAATCACTTTCTTATTCATAGCCCTCAACATTATCTGATGTTATATTATGTCTGTTTATTCATTGTTTGTCTCCCCCTCTAGGATGTAAGCTCTAAAAGAGCACTAAAGGATCTATATCTAAAAGATACCACTGTATCCTTCAAATAATGACAGGCACAAAGTAGGTGCTTATTAAATGAGTGAAAAAATTAATTAACTGGTTCATTTAGAATTAGAGTAGTAGTCTGGGTTCTCTGCTAAAGCAATAATGTTCTGCAGCTGGAGCTGCTTCAGGATTCGGCTTTAAAGCTCTTTGTGTTTCCTTATCAATTTAGTGATAAGATGCAGATACTTATTTGATTGTAATCTTCCATTTGGTGGCTATGGGGGATTTACATAATTTTGATATTTACCTGATTTATAGATAAGAAATATGATGAAAGATCTAAGCCATAGCCAAGCCATATATGTTTGATAAAAGCTTATGGGAAAATGCTAAAGATTATAAAATACAGAGCTCTAAAGAAAAAGGGACGAATCGTCTAAGAATGAAGGTCAGAGACTGCAGTGGCAGGCTGATTTAATCTGACAATGCTCCCCCTTTACTCTTGCCACTGAAAAAGGGGGTCTAGACCCTAGTAACACCATTTCATCTCAATAGCTTACTTTCTCACTTAGAATGTAAGCCCTTTGAGAGTAAGGTTTATGTCTTTGAGGGTTTTTTTTCCATCATTTTTTCCCTGTAGTGCCTATTGTAGGTGTTTGATGTTTGTTAAATACTGTTTAAAGAACACAAAGCCTGGGGCACCTGGGTGGCTCAGGTGTTAAGCGGCTGCCTTCAGCTCAGGTCATGAACTGGGGGGGTCCTGGGATCGAGCCTCGCATCGAGCTCCCTGCTCCGCGGGAAGCCTGCTTCTCCCTCTCCCACTCCCCCTGCCTGTTTCCTCTCTTGCTGTGTCTCTCTCTGTCAAAAAATAAATAAATAATAATAAAAAAAAGAACACAAAGCCCATACAAGTGCTCCATAAAGATGTCAGGCTATGACATGACGTCCAAAGTGTGATCTGACCAAACGGCCCTTCCTCATAATTCCATGGGTATCTCTGCCCACAACATTTATTCATTATGTAAGCAATTCTATTCTAGTTGCAGAACATTATTAAAATAATACAAGAATTAATGGAATATGTAAACAATAAATATTTTCTAGATTTTGTCTGAATGCCAGACCCTTAGGTCTGGTAAAAGTGAAACAATGCTTGATCTTTCTCTGGAATTTTCTTATCAAACAAAAACAAACAACCCCCCCCCCCAAATGAAGCCCAATTCTCCTCTTCATTTTGTGTTCTAACTAGTCTGATTCAGACAAGCGGTGACTATCAAAGAATATTTTAGGATGCATCTTAGAAAAAGTAGATAAGATTTGTCATCACAGAGGTGTTCTAAGGTTGATGAGAGGTTTGAGGGTGTTTGCAATGAAGATAGCGGCTAAAAAGAAAATTAATGTATATGAAAATAGAAGTTGTCCTTTCCTTACAAAATATTTCCGAAGCAAGTTGAGTGGTATCCATTTTATAGATAGCCCAGAACACTAGAAGACAGCTGTTTAGAAATGACACAACTGTGGAGTAACTAGCTCATTAGGAATTTTTGATAGATTAAGGAAGGTGTGCCAGAGGAGTCTGTTACAGGTGTTTAAATTGGATGGTGTGGGTTGGCCTTACAGAGCATGGGGCCAGGTCTAATGGAGGAATATGCATCTTTTGAAGCTACTAGAGTACCAGAATCAGGGAGGAAGGATGTAGAACTTAGTACTGGGTAGAGAGCCTCATTTGGGAAGCCAGGGGAATTCAAAGACATCACCAATCAAGAGGAATGGATGTGACAAGAATGGAAGAACAAGAAAGACAAGAGTGGCAGGCATGAGGCCTTAAGTGAAGGAGGGAAGGACAAATGGACTTAATCTAATTCATGGGCAGTTCGTCCTCAAGGACCGCGTCTGGCCCTGAAATATGGGTATGGTGGCCAATTTAAAGGGCCATATGTAACAAAGGTAGACGTATTCATCTCATTTCGACTCACATTTGCCAGTTTGTGTCATACAACTCCACATCTGCTATGTCGACCTTCCAGAGTCCACTCATACTTCCTTTTATATCAGAGCTCCAGTTTTCCTTGTGGAAGCCAGTCTTTTGGTTACTAACAGGCTTTATGTTTTGTTTAGGACAGACTCCACCTGGACTGACTACTGCTGGACACAGTTCCACATTCCCCTTGCAATGTTAGCTGATCAGGATTGAGTCTGTGACCTCACTTAGGCTAACGGAATGTAGGCCTTGAACATGAACTTCCATTCTTACTGCTGGTAGTTCTTTGTTCACCACATAGTGCCTGAGAATGGAGGACAACTCAGACGTAAAAAGAAATTGGGTCTTGGAAACATCTTAGCCTTGAGTCTACACCTGATTTTTTCAGTTGCATGAGCCAATCAACGTTCATTTGTTAAGCCTGCTTGAACTGAGTTTTCTGTAACTTACAGGAAAAAGATTTCTAAATAGGACTAATATCATAGTTATTGATAATGTCACATGCTGGCACACAAGTTTAGGTTCTTATATATTACACAAGGGGACCATAAGCAGCTGTTATTACCCTATGCATGTTAGAGATAGTTAAAAGATTCTGGGAGAGGTAATTAGCAACAGCATGAAAAGGTTTAGTGTAAAAGTGAAGAGGTTTCACCTTGAATATCACCAGGACAGGAATTATTATTCCTGCCTCACAGGTAAGAAAACTGAGGCTCAGAGAAGCAAATGTTCCATAGTGAATGAGTGATCAGATTGGGGTAGAGACAAATGCACAACTTTAACACCAAGCCCTGTGCCCTCCCATCACATAAGAGCTACATACAGCCAAGCACATTGAAATTTTTCAACAGCTCTGTACATTAATTAATTAAACATACATTATGAGAAATGGAGTTATTTTTTAAGGAAATTGATTACTAGATTACATAAAAACATAGTAGCTGAAATTTGTTGAACACCACCTGCAGGCCTTCTTCTGAGTGCTTCCTGGATATTAACATGGTCAAAACCCTCGCTAACTCCCTGAGGCACTGCAATTATCTGCTCATTTTATAGGTAAGGGAGCTAGAGTATAGACAGTTGGAGGAACTCATCTATTATCACAGAGATAAGCTTGGGCGGGGTCAGGATAGAAGTCTGGGCAGCTGGGCTGAGAAGTGTGGCCCAGAGCTTCTGAGACGTTGGAAAATGATGACATAGGTAGCTCAAAGCCCAATGAAATACATATATTTCACAGTATACATACACAATATATCTGTGTATCATCTATATCTATCTCCAAGTGGGAATATATATTTAAGTATTTCCATTTTGAATATTTCCACAATTCATGTACTGAAGCAGTATAGCCTTGCTGTTAGGAGAGAAGCATGTGAAGTTAGACTATTGTGGGTTCTAATCCCTTACCTACTTATTAACCACTGCCAGGGGT